AGTGGATTCAAATCTAGATTCCATCACTTAATGTTGTACAATGTTGAACAAGTCACTTAACTATCCCTGGACCTCTAAAATTCTCTCTAGGTAAAGTGGGATAACAAGTGCCCACTTCACAGGACTGCAATGATCAAATAGTGTAAGAACAAGCCCAGTGATAGAAACCACACAGTGTCCCTATCATCATCACCATCATCATCAGCATCAACACACTTCAAAAGGAGGCAGAGCACAAAATTTCAGAGGAAGGGGCTCGGTGTGGTGGCCTAGCAGCTAAAGTCCTCGCCTTGAATGCGCCAGGATCCCATATGGGCACTGGTTTTAATCCGGGCAGCTCTACTTCCCACCCAGCTCCCTGCTTGTAGCCTGGGAAAGCAGTTGAGGACGACCCAAGGCCTTGGGACCCTGAATCCATGTGGGAGGACCTGGAGGAGGTTCCTGGCTGTTGGCTCCAGATCTGCACAGCACTGGCTGTTGCGCTCACTTGGGGAGTGAGTCATCGGATGGAGGATCTTCCTGTCTCTCCTCCTCTCTGTATAAATAAATAAAATAAATAAATCTTAAAAAAAAAAGAAAACAGGTACTTTGTACATGTAAATATGGAGGTCATTCATCTATAACAGATGGGTGACTTTACTTAAAAAAAATTTTCAGAGGAAGGTAATTGGATGTAAGAGATATGCAGGCCTAAGTATAAAGGAGCTTCCTCAAGGGGCTGACCAGCGAATGAGAGCCCAGCTGTGGCTGCTGACTGTTGGAGAGTTGAAGAACATGGCAGAGCATGAGTTTGGACCTTGTGCACAGGCACTGGGTTAAACAGAGCAGGTTCAATGGAACAGAGAAGGAGAAGGGAAGTCACATCACACAAAACCAGGTAAACAGGGAATGCCAGCGAAGAAGTACACACTAATGCTTTATGAATGAGATCGCACACACACCAAGTGAGCATACTGTAAGAGGACACTCCAAAATGCAGCCACTGCTAGATGATAAGCATCTTAGGGGATTTTCAGTGCTGATTCCAGATGCGCTCTTGTAGTTTGCTAGCTTATGGTATCAATAGCTAATACTTACACAGTACTTACATCTGCCCAGCATTGTTCCTAGGGTTTCACAGATTTTGACATACTTAATCCTAAACACAATGCCAGTGAGGTTGTTTTCCTTGTTTTTCCCAGTTTAGAATGAAGGCGATGGAGGGAAGCAGCTACTTGGAACACAGGAACACAGTCCAAGCCACAGAGCAGGCACTCCAATCCTGGCAGCCTGGCTCTGGAGTCCATGCTGTCAGCCAAGTGTGATACCTTAGTGATTCACTTTCATTCGCTCTCTGTTCCTCCACCCCTTTCTCACACACACCTATGTACACACACACACACACACACACACACACACACACACACACACACACACACACACACAGTTACAAAACCAAAAGGAGGAACAGTTACTGTGCATTTTATAGGGATAAAGGAGGTAGAGGGTAAGAAAGGCTTCTTGGATTTGGGAGTTCCTGGGGACTGGTGAGTGAGCAGCTTCCACAGTGCGAAGGGATGGAGGCCAAAGGGAAGGAGGCTGCAGAGAGAATGGTTGAATGAGACATACAAGCAGTGAGTATAGGGGAATGTTGAGAGGAATTCGGCAGCACAGTGAAGAAAAAGAACTGGATGGAGGCTCTCGGGAGGGGAAGAGATGTTTAAGTGGTGGCTGGCATCAGAACATTTCTGAGAGCAGAGGAGTGCTACGCAAGGAGAGAGTGAGCTTGCTGGCTGTTCATGACAGTTGAAGGGACAAAGCTCAAGGCTGGGCTGGGCAATCAGAAGGAAGGGCTAAGAAGAGAGATGACAGAGATGGGGAAAGCAGCTCAAGAGTAGGCAAAATGAAGGTATCTATGGTGATATCAACTATGGGTGAGGGAAGTGGTAGGGCTTAGATCAAGTGACAGCCCTGAGCTGGATGCTCCCTACTGAAGCCGGGTGACTTCCACAATTCAGATGCATGGGATTCACTCTATTTTTGTTTATTTGTGAAAGTTTAAGAATAAAAAGTTTAAAACCAAGTTCTGTAACACTTCGTAACAGCACATGATAACTATTTACATGATCACTTGAGATCCGTCATTAAAGCATGTACATTAGTGATTATGGACAATTTCTTCCTCTAGATTATGGCTGAACAAGTGTGGCCAGTATCCACTGTACAAAGTAAGGCACCATGTTTGGAGGAGGCAGAGATGGGATTAAAACAGCCATGATCTGGGCTCTCTGCCATTCCACGCAGCATTTAGGCTCTGGACAAATTCAGTTTACCAGGAAGCATCACTCCAGGAGGTACCCACAAAAGTGCTCAACGTGGTGGTCTAGATACTCACTGCAGGTAAATGCCAAAAGACTGCCCAGTATGACCCTTCCTTTTTCTCTCTGCCTTCATCTCTCCTTCTACCATAAAACTACAGCAAGAAAACATTCCCTCACCCCTTTCTCTACATGTCTGGACTTGACAAAGAGAGGAAAGGATTGAAGTTACAAGAAGTTCTCGCATTTACTTTGTACTGTTCCAGTTCATCTTCTATTTCTTTTTTTTCTACTTTATTTTTATGTATTTAAAAGGGGAAGGGAAGCAGAGACAGAGAAGGGAGAGAGCACACATGTTCAAATGCGCACTCCATCTTCTAGTTTACTCCTCAAGTGACTGAAACAAGGGCTGGGTCAGGTTTCCCATGTGCAAGGCAGGGACCCAAGTTCTTCTGCCATCACCTGTTGCCTCTCAGGGTGTACATTAGCAGGAAGCCAGAATAGGAAACGGAGCAGGCACTTGAATCCAGGCTCTGAAATGAGATGCAGGCATTTTAATAGCTGCACCAAATGTTGGCCCCTTGTTTCTGTGAGTGGAATGCTCCCTCTGAAAGTAAACTTGTTGAATAAGGACGTCTTTTGAAAATGTTACTGGAGGGAAAACATGGACCAGGAGATGAAGCCCAGTCATTTAAGATCCAAACTTCAAGGGCTGGAACCATAGTATAGTTGATAAAGCCAGCATCCCACATGGGCACCAGTTCTTATCCCAGCTGCTCTATTTCTGATCAATCTCCTCCTAATGGCCTGGGAACAGTGACAGAAGATGATTCAAATGCTTGAGCCCTGCTACCTGAGTGGGAGATCCAGAAAAAAACTCCTTGCTTCAGCCTGGCTCAGCCCTGGCAGCTGCAGCCATTTGGGGAGTGAACCAGCAGATGCAAGAGCTCTGTCTTTCTTGCTAACCCTGATTTTCAAATTAAAAAATCAATTAAAAATTCAAGTCTCATTTGCAATGTTGATGTGATTTAAATATGTGGAGCTCAACAAGGACAATTCTACTTTAGCTTTGAGTTTTACAAAATTTCAAACTTTCATTTTTAAGAAGTGATACAAACTTTTTCATAAAAATGAATCAAAATGTGCTTAACAGTTATCTTTATATGAGATAAACATGTAAACATTCATAAATGTAAAATTAAAAGATATATTTACTTTTTACATTTCCTAACATTTATTTTTATTTTATTTGAAAGGCAGAGAAAGAGAACGAGAGAGAGAGAGAGAGAGAGAGAGAGAGAGTGCGCAAGAGAGCTTCTCATATTGTTTACTCCCTAAACGTTCACAACTGCCAAGGTGAGACCAGGCCAAAGCCAGGAGCCGAGAACTCAGTCCAGGTTTTCCACATGGCTAGCAGGCATCCAGTGACCTGAGCCATTACCTTCTGCCTCCTGGAGTTCCCAGCAGCAAGGAGCTGGAATCAGAAGCAGAGTCTGCACTCAAACTAGACACTCCAGTAATGGGGCCCAGTGTCTTAACTGCTATGCTAAATGCTCATGCCAGGATCAGCCATTTGGGTTAAAACAGGCAATCCATAGACAGTGTTTCTTTTTAATAATACACATTTTCCATGAACTTCGCACAAAAAACAGAACTCTCAAGAAAAATGACTGTTACCACTTTAAACAACTAGAAATGAAATACACAACATGATACTGTAAATAATCTAATAAATTTTGTTCCTTTAAGGCAAAGATTTCATAAAATAAGATCATCAAATGAAATGGAATGAGAGAATTCTTGCAAAGTCACCTTTTCAATTTTCTTTTTTGTTGGACAGTCAGATATACAGAGAGGAGGAGAGACAGATGATTCACTCCCCAAGTGGCCACAATGGCTGGAGCTGAGACAATCTGAAGCCAGGAGTCTAGAGCCTCTTCCGGGTCTCCCACGCAGGTGCAGGGTCCCAAGGCTTTGGGCTGTCCTCAACAGCTTTCCCAGACCACAAGCAGGGAGGGAGCTGGATGGGAAGTGGGATTGTGAGGATTAGAACCCGTGTCCATTTGGGATAATGGTGCGTTCAAGGCAAAGACTTTAGCCACTAGACTATCACATGGGCCCGCCAACGGCCCCCCTCTTTTTTTAAGAAGTCAGAGTTCCAGGGTGAGATCTAGTATCTGCTCATTCATTCCCCAGATGGCCACGAAGGCCATGGCCAAGCCAGGCCAAAGCTAGTAATTAAGAGCTTTATCTTGGTCTCCTGCATGGGTGGCAGGGGCCTAAGCACAGGGCAAAGACCTGCTGTCACCCAGGATGAATGAAAGGAAGCTGGATTAGAAGAAGCTGATTTAGGGATGTGTGTGCTGACTCAACAGGCTAATCTTCCACCTAAAAGTGCAGGCATCCTATATGGGTGCCAGTTGGTATTCCAGTTGTTCAATCAAGCTCCCTGTTTGTGGGTGGGAAGGCAGTGGAGGATGGCTCAAGTCATTGGGTCCCTAGACCCATGTGGCAGACCCGGCAGAAGCTCCTGGCTTCAGCTTGGCTTGGCTCTGGCTGTTGTGGCCACTTGGAGAGTAAACCAGTACATAGAAGATCTTTTTCTGTCTTTCCTCTCAGTAAATCTGCTTTACAAATAAAAATAAATCTCTCTCGTTTTTTCTAATCAAAGCAGCTGACTGATTACAAGACACATGGATGGACCTGGCAGGAAGTGAAACCTTTGCAATTCTTCATAATTCAGGAAACAGAGGACCAGCATATTCCTAGGGCAGAGGGCACAGAGGAACTCAATAAAAACTTCCAGTAAATGATGACTTAAGAATCCAGAAGTACTTTAGGTAAGTGATGACAAGGACCTCAATCCAATGTGTAAATTAGAATTTTTTAAACAAATGGGGATGATATCATACCACTAAACAATTTCTTCAGATGGCCCAAAGCCTTGGGACCCTGCAACCTGTGTGGAGACTTAAGAGAAGCTCCTGGCTCCTGACTTCAGATCAGCTCAGCTTTGGCCATTGTGGCCATTTAAGGAGTGAACTAGCTTATGAAGATGGAAGATCTTTCTCTTACTCTCTCCTTCTCTTGGCAAATCTGCCTTTACAATAAAAATAAATAAATCTTTAAATAAAAACCTTCACCAAATCCATTATATACCAGAGGTTAAATCAGAGAAATGAATTGTTCAGCTCTGATTCTAATTGTCAATCAAGAAACATAATAGATGAATATTCTTAAACTGAAATACATCTGCATAACTTATATAATTCCAGGTAGAAATTAAGAGTTCCGTGTAGTGGCTTAGCATCTTAGCCCTTCTCCTGCCATGTTGGCATCCCAAATGGGTGTCAATTTTTATTGTGGCTGCTCCACTCCTGTTCAGCTTCCTGTTTGTGGTCTGGGAAAGTGACAGACTATGGTCCAGATTCCTGAGCCACTGCACTCATGTGGGAGGCCCTTGATAAAACGCCTGGCTTTTGGTTTTAGATAGTCTCAGCTCTAGCCACGGTGGCCATCTGGGGAGTAGGGCAGTGGTCAGAAGATCTCTCTCTCTCTCTGTCTGTCCTTCTCTCTGTAAATCTGCCCTTCAAAATGAAAAATTGTAAGATCAATTTCAGTAGACTGAATAAATGCACACATGCAACTCGTGTCAACAATGACAAACAGGGCTTCCAGGTGCCGAACGCCAGGTGCCCATTGGAGCGCAGGTATTTATCCAGCTGAAGGAGCCCTACTTAACTGCCACACACAGATGCCGCTACACAGTTGTGTTTCACTTCTAAGACACCACAGAAACCTGGTATCGTATTGCAGTGACCTAAGCCTGACACAGTAATAATGTCATCAAAATATGGCAACTTTATAAAGTGCTTTCTCACATACCATGTAGGATAGTGTCAATCAGTTTCCATTGCTACTTGTGGACTTGCAAGAGTCTAGCATCCAAATTTGTGTGAAAAATTATTTTTGCAGGTAATTGGAAAAAACAGTATTTTTGCCTGAGACTCCTGTTGGCTTGGCATTTTATTGGGTATGTTTTCTCTTATTGTTTAGTGTAGTTTCACAAGAATCTTTAGCTTGGAAAAGCATTGTTTTTTCCTTACTTAGGCAGAAATTTTGTAATGATATTTTTTCCTTAGAGGACTAGAGTACACCTATAGATAAAAAGTAGGGGTAGAGTGAAAGACCATAAAACTGAAGTGTCCAGAGATTAACCCATAGCTCCAAACACAGAACACCAGTGGTGGGAGTTGGCCAAATAAAGTTCTGGTAAAGCTTTGGGTGATTCTGATGTGTACTCTGGGTTCTAGCCGTGGGCCAGGAGTAGAGCAAGACTGTTGGGTCCCAAGGCTAAGGCCTTCCTGATTGTTCTGCCTGGTAGCCTTGGGTCTGGGCTGGACTCCCCCACCTCCGTATCCCATCTCTAACACAGGAGAACAGTTCATGAGCTCTGCACCCCATCTATGGAGCAGCTTTCCTTCTCAGCCTCTGTGATCACTCAGACTACTGGCTGAAGCTTCTCATGCTCATATAGTACAGAATATGATTTATTTGCATACAATCAAGGTGTGGGCTGTAAATGTCCCCAAGGCACACCATACCGGTGACACAGAGCTACAGTCAGTGCCTGAATGAACTATGCACCCAGGGGTGAGGGAGGGAGTGAGCTCTTTGCTACTTGCAGAGCTACAGATAACGCTGCCATTGGGGAGGGTGAGCAGGGCCCTTTTCTGCATCAGAGCAGGTTCTCAGGCACACATCTAGCAGGATAATGGTGTTTGCTTTTTTCTTTTCTTCCTTCCTTCCTTCTTTTTCTTCTTCTTCTTTTTTGTTTGTTTGCTTTAAAGAAAGCACACCCACACAGACAGTGGGCTGTTTTTCTGCTGGAATGTTTTGTCAAAAGGCCACTGCAGCAAAACGAAGTCTCTGGCTGCATTGCCACATGCCTGTATAGATAACAGTGCCAGAAACATGAGTGACACAGAAGCCTGCCCTTTTACAGAATTTCACGATTCCAGAGAAAGCTCAGGGGCTCTGCCAAGATCTCTGTGACATTGTTAACCCCGCCTGCTTTCTTCCAGGCCCAGGCCTCCCTTGGGTGTGCATTTCTGCGGTTCTCACTGGCCCACTCTGCGTTCCAAGAGGCATCTTCGTGGCTCTGAGTCTTTTCATTTCAGCTGGTCCTGAAGACTTTGCCTGAGTGCCCATGTTTCTTCTCCTCCACATCCAAGGGATATAGAGGACATTTGTGTCCATTTCTGGCCTCGCACCTGTCTGCAAGAGCCATCTTACCTGCACACCTTGCCAGTTCCTGTTCCTCTGGCAGCAGGCCCTCCCCTAGAGGCAGCATCTCTAGCTTCTTCTATGCCAACCAAGAAACTCCTATCAGCTACATAGATTCAACATTCCTACCTCCGGTTTTTGGAAACATTTTTAAATTTATTTGAAAGGCAGACAGAGAAAAAGTGAGGGAGAGACAGAGGGCTGATTTCTACAATGGTTCTGGGAAGGCTAGGTCAAAGCGAGGTTGCTCCACACAGATGCCAGGGTCTCCCAGTGCCTTAGCTATCACCTACTGCCTCCTGGGACTCACTTTCATAGGGAGTCAGTATCAAGAGCAGAGCTGCAGCTCTGGTATGCAGTTTAGCTACTGTACCAAATACCTGTCCTTCAGTGGCTTCTGAAGCCACTTCTATCCCCCTCCACTTCCAAAAAGGAGAACAGCACCAGACTGTCTTACTTTCCTATCAGCATCTCCCTTTCCTCCTGCCATTAAGCTCGTGTTCAGGCTCACTCTTGTGTTTTCTCCAGAAAGTCCTCTCTCTGCAGCTTCCCCTGTTAGGACTCTACCTCCACTTCTAGGTCATTCCAGGTTGCCTATTCCACCATGGTTCCTGACTCTTTTTAGGCATTCACTGTTGCATTGTGGGAGGCTCCCAGCAAGTACCACCCTGCTCCTCATGCCTGTCCTCAGATGCAAATGCATCCACAGGTCACTGCCAACAGAAATGGGGTGCAGGAAGAGAGGGAAAGAGACACACATCCAAGAGATAAGAGGAAGGAGAGATTCCTTTTGGTTGGGAGAAATTTCAGCTGGCTTCATGGAAGAAGTGGCACTACCAGCAGGATTTGGAGCTAAGGGGGAAGGGCTTTCTCTTTTTATTTTTAAAAGATTTATTTATTTGAAAGGCAGAGATAGATGTTCTATTTACTGGTTCACTCTCCAAATGGCACAACTGGGCCAGGCTGAAGCTAGGAGCTCCATCCGGGTCTTCCACATTAGAAGAAGCCAGCTGGGATTCGAACTGGGAGTCAGGGATATGGGATGCTGGCTTTGCAAGCAGCAGCTTAGTCTGTTTTACCACAATGCTGAGTTCCCTCTTGGCAGGGAGTTCTAAATAGAGAGGCCAAGGCCAGTGCTGTGTGCCTGAATCTGTGCAGGGACTAGGACATTAGGTTCACCAGCAAGAGAGATACCGTGAAGAAGAGCTAGAAGGGCGTGGGATGGAGTTAGGAGTTGCATGAAGCAGATCTATTCCTCTAAAACACATTGGTCTACCTGCAAGGTGTGTTACTGCTTTCCACTTAATTTGATGTATGTATGTATGTATGTATTTGTTAAATACTGCATTTAACTACTGTCACGTTATATACTCTGACTTGAGGCTTTTGTTTTTCAAGATTCATCTCATTTATATGAAAGGGAAAGAGACACAGAGAGTGATCTTCCATCCTGCTGGCTCGTTCCTTAGATGGGGCTGGGCCAAGGCTAAAGGCAGGAGCTTCCTTTAGGTCCTTCACTGCTCTCCCAAGTGCACCAGCTGGGAGCTGGATCAGAAGCGGAGCAGTTGGGATTTGAACCTGTGTTCATACAGGATGCTGGCACTGCTAGAGGGTAACTCACCTATTCCACCACAGTGCTGGCTCCAACTGCCTTCTACTTCATAAGGTAGTCATATCCTTATTCTTTTGTGTGCTTTCCATTTTGACCTGACTGAAACTAATGGAAGACATAAATGCTACCAGTTTAGCACAGTCTTAAACACAGTGGCACAGGATAAATATTTACTTAACAAGTCAACTGTAGCCTCCATTTAAAACTATTTTTGAATGAAAGAGAAAAGAAGGTAGGAAGATGTGAAAGAAAAAACACACATGGCATAAAATGAGCCAGGCTTGTGTGTTCACTTTCTCCCTTAGATCTTGGCTATGCCAAGATGCTCACTATTCTGAGTGATTCACACCCAGAGGAAAAAAGAAGTGGCAAGGAAGAACTTCAAGCCTCCTAAAACCCTATCCAAAGGCTATGTGAGGAGCAGTGTAGATCCTTGGTCGCAATGAGGCGCTATTAGACATGGCTAGGGCCCCATGAATGTCAGTTCCTAAGGTGTGGAATCAGAGTCCAGCTTCACGCTTGGCTCCAATCCCTGCTTTCTGGTGTGATCTGGGAGGATGAGGAAATGAGACAATGGCAAACTGTTCAATCTGCCAGGCCTTTGTAGTTCTTATCTTTAAAGGAGGGATGAAGTCATCTGCACACTGCAAAGAAAGGGGCTCTGCCTCCAGCTCAAGCTAGAACCCAACACAGCTCTGGCTCCACGAGGACGACAGCTAATAATAGCATTCCTTGGGCTGTTCTTCCCTTTGTTCTTTGCCACCTTTGATTTCTGAAGCTCTTCACTTCCATTATCACACCTCACAACCACCTTGCATTTAAATTACTGGATACGGCTAGTGTGCTAAGAAACCAGAGGCAGAAGTG